ATTGTTTTATTTGGCTAAATGTTCATTTGATTTGTGTTTATCTGACTGTGTTCATTATTATTCAAGCAATAAATGATAAAAGTAATAATTTATTCATATGCTGAGACTATTAATAGCAGGAGGTGAAATGCAGCTCCAGACGAGCTTTGAATGTGGGTCCAGGCTTTCCTGGGTTCCTATCAAGAACAGACTTGGCGAGGAAACGAGTCCGTACTCGGGTTCTAGGGAATAAAGAAATGGCCTTAGTTTCAAACTGCTGGGCCTCAACTTGGGGGCGGAGTTTAGATGACAGCGTGTGACGATTGACAGCTGATGTACCCCAGCAAAATATTCCCAGATGCTGCATTCAGGGACAGTGGGATTTAAAACACTATTGATATACTGAAAGGAGTTTAAATAATTTTTGTTATATGAACAGTAAAAATAAAATAAAAATGTCTTTCCAGCCTCCAAAAGCTACGATTCTTGGCTCCAGAACTTTTGATCACCGATTAATAATCTGAACCGATATCATTTAATATTCCACTTTAGATCAGTCAGAAGGACTAAGTTTATACATTTGAGATGATAAATTATTTTTTAGGCGTTTGTAAAGTCTACTAACGTGAGATCAGAGGGTGAGGACGCCCCCTGCTGATAGAAGCCGGCACAAAAAAAAACATAATCACCATTTTAAAAAATCCTTTCCAGCCCGTCAAAAAGTCCCGTTGGTCCTTTTTTACCGCCTCGGCTTGAAGATACTTGGAAATATGCTGGAATGAGAAAAAAAAAAAACAAATGATGAAATTAAAAGTTTATCAATCATCAAATTTTAAACTATGTTTGGATTAACATTCGCTTTGAGGGGAGAACTTTTTATAGCAAATATCTCTGCAAAGAGGAAGTAGTCGGGGGAGAAAAAAGAAATTAAAGCTTCGTTTAAATAAACGATGCCTTTAGTAAATTATTATTTCTAAATAAACAAGCATTAATACAGAAAAATAATCCCCTTAATTACATGTTGGGTGTGATTTTGGTGAGCGGACCAATGGAAATGCTGTTGCTAACGTTGCTA